TTTTCAACGTTTTCACCTTTTTAGGTACTATTCACCTCAAAGTGATGTAAGCGATAGCAATCCAGTTTCCTGCGTTTTGCAATTGCAAATCCAGGATGGGGACGCCAAAGATGGACATTGTGTGCGAAACATGGTCATATGAAATGATTCGACTATACATACGCGCATAAAGCAAAGCAGCAAGCAGGGACCATCATCCAATTAGCTCTTTTGTATCCTCGACAAGTAAAAAAAAATCAAACCTTCGAAGTCGGCAGAATTGCGCGCGCGGAGGGGGCTCAAATAGCGTCTTTTGATTTGCTCTCGAAAATTTCTACGAAGAAGAAACTCATGGATTCTTTTGGCTAAAGCAACCTTTGGAATATAGGCTACTCAAAATCGTTATGTGAGAGCATTACTTTGCTAAAATAGACGGTATCAGAGAGAACTCCCTTGAATTTTCCAAATTTTCGCTTTTCTTTCGTTTGTCCTTTTTACGTTCGTATTGTATTCATAATCAGGTTGTCCGGAAAGTAAACCGTATTTCTAAATTAATCAAACTGCTTTTGTTTTCCTAGCAGACTTAGGGTGTTGATCAATGTAGCAAAGCAAGCTCTATAAAATGAGCACCAAAGATCCGTTCTAAGTCGTGATACAGGAAATTTGGATCCGAAAATCAAAAATTTTCAACTTTTTTCAAAAAATGGTCCCTTCAGAAAATTCCTACGGATCTACTTGTTTATTACACAGTAGGCACATCGGAGAACCCAAAAATATACTTGGAGGAATTTTCCGGGGCTCAAAAATTGAGAAATCAGAATGGCTCGAAAATGCAAAAATGTCACTTTTTTGATTTCTTTAAACGGTAAACATGATATTTCTCATCACCAAATCACAAACAGAGATACATTTCTAAGGTTGTACTTACTAAGGCTCGTAGTATACAATGACATAAGTGGGAGGCGCTGGAGACGGAGTTGGACATTTTTTTTTTGACTATCTCTTTTTTCTCGCTTTCTAAGCGCGAAAAAAATCCATAAAGACAAGTTTGAGTGCTACTTATGTTTGCTGTATAACGATCAAGTTTGAGGTCCGTAGAAATTTTCTCACCAACTCAATTTTCAGGCGATAAATTCTTTTTCGATTTTTGCTCCAAATTTATCTTGATTACGATCTTTGGTAGTCATTCTAAAGATCTTGCTTCACTCTATCGATGACACTTTGAGCCTGCTAGGGAAACTATACTTTTGAGACAACGCAACAGAGAGAACTTAATCCAGCATAATGAAATGTCGATTCTGAGAAAGTTATAACGTTTCAAATCAGAACTGCAAATCGGACAGGACTTTCGGAACGGCCTGAAAATACTGTTATGATGCATCATAATAATCTCATTATGTGCAGACGGTTCTTCAGATGCAAGGGACACTTGATAAATGATATCTTCAACCACTGATGTGATGTGACATGATTGTAATGGCCATCTCGTTCTTCCATGCAGATCACTACTGTTGGAACACTAGTTGCTGTTGATTTTCCTTCTCATTCTACCTGCTATATAAATACTCTCATCCAATATTTTTAATCTTTTTATTTCATCTGCATTGAACCACAAATACTGATGCGTAAAATCCTAGGCTCTGCATGTAAGTTTTCGCCAGAAACGGAGGATAGTGGAAGGCGTACTTAGAAAAGAAAATATGTTAATATCGAAAATATTTAGAATCTAAGTAATGTACATAGATGCTATGCGTGTGTTCAATCTTCTTTTCTATTTCTGCATTTGATACTATGATGTGTCGTTATTTTTCGGTTTCAGCCTCTTTAACGCTTTCTCCTCTGCCCATTCAGCACGTTTTTTTGCTTTGGCGCCATCGTTTACCATATCTAAAACTTCACATCATCTTGTCAGTGAAACACTTTTTATGGAAACGTGTGCGAATAAACATTCAGTTTTGGCTGCACAGCTCGTTTCTTAGATGCGAGCTAATAAAGAGGGAAATAGAGGTCGCCCAAATCTCTAAAGCAATTTTGCTAGTAATTTTTTGGTCTATCATTGTCAGACAAACACTGTGAATAAAAAGCAGCTTTGTTACACAAAACAGGCAGCAAATTTAGAGACAATGATTCCGAAAGAATTTGCAGATGATCATATATTAGGTCGTTCCGAAAGCAATGTCGCTTTTTTCAAATGAACGCCACATTTCATGGAATCAAAATTTTCAAGAGATCGTAGGAGCGTTCAATGCAGCATCTCATGCTCTTTCTAATGGTTGTAATTTCATTGCATAATTTTCATTGAGCTTTCGAAAAATTAACAAAATCTGCAACTCATGCTTTTTGCCATGGTCAAGTTCGGCAATTTTTCTAACCTTTTGTACCTATTCTCCGAAGAAGTGCAAGTGACTGATAGATAGAGCAACCCTATAAGACACAGAGTAATTTTTTTTTCTTAGCTTGCTTCTTAGAGTTTCTGGAATCAGTTTCAAAATGCCATCAAATTCTATATTTGGTCAACTCAAACCTCACAGAACAACAACCGCCAAGCAACTCGGGTGCCATTCGACGCAGCTTTTTCTCCTCTTTTTACCAATTGTTTTTGGTTTCCGATTCATCAAGTTTTCCGAGATAAAATCATCATAATTCAGGTTTTCCAGGGCGCCTCCGGCTGTACCCGGAAATTTCGAAAGTTGCTAATCTGAAGCGGTAAACGCTCATTTGCTTTGTAAAATCAGTGTAAAACCATAATCTATTTTTGTAAGTCTCAAAATCCGAAGATTTATTGGTATTTGATGCATTCATGTGTGAGGCAAGGATGCTAAAATTCGGTGGTTCCATCAAAAAATCTATACAAAAATTATGACGAGCTCTGAAAAGTAGAAAAAAGTTGTGCTGTTTCTTGTAAGGTTTGCTCTATCCATACATGACTTGGACTCCTTCCGGGGATTGTTATAAAAATTTGGAAAAATTGTGAAACTTGACCTTCTCAAAAAGCATGCGTCGCAGATTCCGATAATTATCCCAGAGGTTATTCAATTTTATGCGGTAGTTATAAAACCATTAGAAAGAAAATGGAATGCTGCATCAAATGCTACCAGAATCTCTTACACATCTTTGTTCCATGAGATGTGGCGTACGTTTGAAAAAAGCGACACTTTTGTAACGACCTAATATTTTGCAATTTTTTAGTTCCGAACTAAATCGTGGATATGATTTTGTCATTTCAGTTCAAATGAGATTCACCACTAAGACTTAGCACGAGCTGGCACCAGGGAATTTTCAAAACGAAGTCCCGCTTGAATTTTGCTAATTTTTACGAAGCCCCCTTTGACCCCAGACCAAAATCCCTAAAAATCCTCCAAAAAACGAAACGTCGACTAAAAAAAACGTCGCAATTTGTCGACAAAAACGATATCCCCTTTGCAGTGGCGTACCCAGGATTTCGGCTCGGGGGGGGGGGGGGGCGCGACAAAAAAATTTTTCTAATGAAGGTGCGTGGCTAACGCCACGCACTCCGAAAAAATTTTTGGGGTGCTTCTCAAAATTTTTGCGGGTCCCCAACCCCTAAAATCTGGAAAAAGGGGGCGTGGCGTCAGCCACGCCCCCGGAAAAAATTTTTTTCTAAAGCTAAAATGAATTTTTAAAAAATTTTAAAAATTATTTTAATTATTTACAAGTACAGACAAGTCATTTGCACAATTTTATAACCCATATAAGTAACTTTCAAAAATTTCGCGACCCGTTCTCGGGGGGGGCGCGCCCCCCCCCCCGCCCCCCCCCCCTCGGTACGCCACTGCCCCTTTGCTTTTTGTCCCAAAAACGATATCCAGCTTGCCCCGTGCCAGCTGGTGGCCAGGCCCTGTTCACTACTGCTCCAGAGTTCGGGTGTTGCACTTTCGTTAAAAACGAAGCTTTTGATGCTTCTTCCTTAGTCAAAAGTCACTATTAAACAATTCTCAAGAATCAGATTGCTCAGATGTTTTCACTCAGACTTCGATTGAATCTTGAATCAGCGTCAAATGATTACCAACTTCTGTGCAGCAATTTCCCTTACTTAAAATGCGCTTTGTGAGAACGAGTCAATTTACAAGAGACCCTTACATGTTATAGCACATGTAATGTTCTTATGCTGCAAGTGGGATTTTTCCATTTGATACCTTGGCAAGAGAAAAAACTATTCGCAAATAACTGACGCGAGAACTTGAGGTATGCCAGAAGTTATGTGTATTCTGGAACCAAATGAAGGTTTCTTGCCAATTGTGATCAACAAGAAGTTCCGAGTTTCGTGCGTGGTACTTTCTTTGCAAATTCGTCCTAATTATTTTATATATCTAGGACAAAAGATTATCTCTTCATACAAAAAAAATTTGTTCTATATTTGTACTTAGTTGTCGCGTTTGTCGCGTTTCTGGAATTTGAAGCTGTTGTTTCTATGTTATTGTAAAGCCAGAGGCACTGAGAGTGCAGATCTCTGTTACCACAGACTTCAACCCTTTGTTCATCACTTCATAGGTCCACCCCTGCTAACAATTGTTCTGTTATTTTGATTTTCGTTATCCATGGTTTTCGATGGTGTGGATGATTTCTTCACATATCGCTTTTCTCTCTTGTCCGTCTCTATCACGGCTCGGCATAGGTGGTTTGTAAGCAAGCTGGGTATCGCTTTTGGGACAAAAAGCAAAGGATCGTTTTTGTAACAAAAAAATACAACTTAAGTTACGTTTTTTAGTCGAATGTTTCATTTTTTGGGGATTTTTTAACTTTTAGGGTTCAGGGTCAAAGGGGCTCCATAAAATTTCGAAAGTCAAGCGGGACTTCGTTTTTTTGTATTTTCGAAAAGCCACTCGTGCGCCCGTCTCGATCTGTTTAGCCTTTTGCTATCAACTTGCTATCTACCCTCGCATCGTGAATTCTCTATAGCGTATTTTTACTGTAATTTTGCAACAGATACGTAGACCTTTATGGTCTCAGCGTTTGCCAAGTGCTTTCGTCCGCTTCGTCTTCGTCAGGATCACAAGAAAATGGAACCACTCCCTCAGGATGCGAATCCAGTCCCCGACACGCCCACCTCTTCGGTCGTAGACTTCACGAATGGTGCGTTTTCCCTCGCCGATTTGTTCCTGGCCGCGTGCCAAGTGTTTGTTGTTGTCTCCGCCCGTTTCCTCTGCGTCCCTACGATCATTGAACTCCACGTTGTTGTGGTGACGCGAGTTGTTGACAGAATTGGTCGTGCCGTCGTCTGCGCTCGCGTGCGCGATCTAGTTGCCACCATGCCGCGACTCGGCGCATATCGACGTTCGCGCGCCCTTGCGCAGCCACTAGAGCGAGTCTCATCAGCTGGTTAGCAGGCATTTCGCGCATTTCCATGTATAGAAGGCTCAGAAAATGTGCATATTTTTTGCCCGCTTTATTAGACCAAAACGAGATTGCACAATTATGTATAACACAGAAATGCTGAGAAGAAATCTTAGGAAATCGTCGAGTCGTATGTATCTCATGTATTGCACACCGCCTGTGCTACTCCACGACGTAAAAAAACCTGCTTATTTCCAGTGGCTTTCCGTTTCCTTATTTCTTCTGGTAACTATGCATTCGTTAGTGGTACACAACTCTTTAGGTTGTCCAAAAAAGTTTTACGATGTTGTCAATTGCCGCGCATAGTGTGCAGACTTACATATTAATTTGTAATTGACTCGAGTACACACAGTAATTTTTGAGAAGATCCTCCAACAATGTATATCTCAAATTGATGTTCTAAATAGTTACAAGATACGACCGCATATTCTCACATACTAACAAATTTCGACTCTTCTATTGTCACCTTTGTTTTTGTACTGGTTTTCTTCTATCGGCTGTTCTCATTTCTACCACTCATTCTTATCCCCTTTGAGAAAACTTACAAAAGAAGCTAAGCTTCAGATAAGCGATTTTTCAAAATGCGTGTCAAATATTACGGCGAACTGTTTTCGGTGAGTACGAAGAATCCCTTGCTTTCTAACTAAATATCTGTTCGTACTCATTTCTTACTTTTGAATTAATCAATTTTCACAAAAATACCGATATCGTAGTACTCTAAGCTTTAGACAATAGTAGCTGAGACTTTCGGATTTGGGCTTTCAGGCGTACACAGCTGCAAAAAACAAACAAATATTACTGATAAACAAAGCGTCGAAGAAGCACTAGCTAGCAACCCTGAAAATTGCATGCTTGCTATGTGTGCGTAAACAAACATTCGCGAACCAGCGCCATTATGCAATCACAATCCGGTTTCGGAGCGGCTGTGTTCATTGCGGCATTTGCATATTATGGATTTTTGCATGGTTTACAATTTTTACGCATGGGCATTAAGGTGACCAAAATCGAGACTTTTTGCTTGTACACGGCTAGGAAGTCCTGTCCTTTACCGTCGATGGACCGCTTATCTTTACAACTTTATGTTCATTAATGTATCAGATGACCCTTGCAAGCTGTCACTAACGATAAAGGTGCTATCAAAAAGGGTACTTAAAAAATTGGTACTGAGGTGGAAGTTTCATAGATTACTACGTTTGTTTACTGTTCGTCTCTGCTGATCAGAGATCACAGCGAGCCCGCACCCATCCATTTCGCAGCCCCGCTCTTGTGTGTGTCTCTAGCTTATTTGCGCGCTCTTGCTATCGCATGCATCTCGACGCTGGCTAGTCGTATCGGGTTGCTTTTGGTATCTAGACTAGTAGTTTACCACAAAAATCGTTACTTTTTTGCTTGGTCAACTGAGTTTTGCATTTCCTATTACGCTTGGCATCTTCCGCATATATAGTATAAAAGCGTTTGAGAAATATTTTAGGTTGATGCAAAAATAATGCGCGTTTTGCACTGAAGCAGCAAAGCTTTTGGAGCATACTTGCTTGTACTGATTTCACGACCGAGAAGAAAACCAGATGAAAAACAAAAACTTTTTTCATGGAACCTCATTTTTTGACAAAACACAGTTCGGTTTTTTGTAGTTATAATAATTTATGAGAAGTCCTGTTTCGCCTCTTACCCCTATGTCTGGTAATCAGCTTATCTTGTAGCCATAAGCCAAAGCTACAAGTGTAAGTGAAGACGAGCTCTCAAAAAAAGAAAAGTCAATAATCAAAAATTGTCCATCTTTAAGGTTATCTGCTAGTCCTGTAAGTACCAAATTATGCAAATTTGCAGTTCTTCGTGCATTAAACTGCTAAGTTTTTCTTTGCAGAAAGTGTTAACGAGATGTTCCATCTCTACGCTCATAGAAATAATCGTCGCTTTTACGACTACATATTTCAGAGGAACTTTTTGGGCCATGGAGGCTATCCATTTTGGAACGTCGATTTCTCATTCCAAATAACCTCGAAATGCATGAAGTATGCAATAAATAAAGAATATCCATCTCATGCAGTAGCTAATTTTTTTGAAAGAAATGCGCTTATTTTAATGCTGACCAAAAAATGGTCTGAAATTTCGGTTTTGATTGAAGATGTTTGGAATTTTGTAGAATTTCGACCGATAAGCCTAAATGCTTGCTTCAATCATTAAAGGTCGTAAATGAATCAGAGCTTTTGAACGGTATGCAGAATAAATTTTGAAGGAAGAATTTCATGGAATCTGGTTGTCTAGAAAAAAGGGCTTACATAAACACGCATAATTTTGCACCAACTTAATATTATTTGAAAATTCGTTCCCTTTTTCGAATATTTTCCACATTCCGCGAAGAAAAACTCATCAAAGATTCGATTGCATTCAATGCAGCTTTTCATTCTCTCTCAATGTTTTTGTTTCCATTAGAATTCAACCAAAAAGCTTTTAGAAACAGCGAATTGTGCAACTCATGATTTTTGCCATGCTCATCCAATTTTATTCTAAATTTTGAAACCGGTTCACAAAGCAGTTCAAGTAGTAGATAGATAGAGCAAACCTGATTTAACTTTTCGCATGTTTTCTTTCTCATAAGCTCACGGCGATCAGCGAAACGTTTTTTCGAAAGTATCGACACTGGGAAACATTTTTTTCGAAAGTATTGACATTTCGTAACAAAGGAGTATTAGATGACTGCGCTTAAGTTTCGAATGCTCTTGTTTCGATGCTTTACGCGTGATTATCCATAATCGATAGTGCGATATTTTCTAGCTCAAGTCGCTTTCAGAAATTCAGCTAGCTTTATCTACGCGTTATTCAATCGTTGCTGAAAGTCTGCAACACATATATCTAGAAAAATGTACTTGTTAGAATGATTGTGGTAGTGATAGAATCTCGGACACATTCCTGTTTAGCGTAGGAATATCAATTTGTAAGTATAATTTGAGAATGAGTATTAAAGCTGCATTGACATTTGTGATCGTCTATTCTCACTGCTATGGAGGTAGTCAAAAAACTCATTTTCATCCAAGCTCTCGTACCGACGAAATATGTATAACTTTAGTTTTTATATATTGTAGGTAGATGTGCTCTTAATTTTGGGCTGGACGCTCAGTCAAAAGATGCGAATTAAGTTTCGAAGCGATAAGTTCATTTCTTCATATTGTAGCAGGAGGTGCTCTTATCATTAGAATAAGAGTTGTGTGCTGTATAACATTGTTTTTCTCATTCCTTCATAGGAGTTCCCATTAAGTCAGCGTTGTTTACTACCTTGCAGATCTTGCTTACTTAGTATTAGTTACGACGACTACATTCCATGTCAGGAAGCTGGTGCAAATTGAACGAAATGTCCTGTATGTAATTCATGAATGTCATATGAGGTACTGTATAATCTTTTATCAAGCACATAATTTTCGCGCATCTCTAGCAATTTCCTTGAGTAGTGTACAATCTTGAAACTGAATTACTAGGGAAACTTGATTCTCACCGCACTAGAGCGCATTTAGGGGCAGTTTCGCGACCTCAAGAATCGAAAACATGTTTTCCTTCATCAGACATCATGATGGTCAGTAAAGTACCTTCTTCCCTCCTTTCGTGTTTTGCAAGCGTCAAGGAAACAGAGCTCTGGAATAATTCTTACTCATTAAATGCATTTAAACCCACGATCAAATGTAGCAAATTTTTTCTGCATCTTTAAGGTCTTCTAAAATTGTCCATACCCGTAAAATGTTCTGGCGCTTATTTATGTGCACAATGGCCAATTGCAGTCACACTTGCAAGATTTCTTCAAATCATTCTCGAATCGCGCATTCTTTCAGTTGTGGACAAGTTTTTGTATGTTGTTCTACTTTTTTTTCTTCTGAAGTTAGCCTTTATTTTTTCTCAAATAGGCATCTATACTGAGCTATGATCTCCCTTACCACAGTCTCACTCGTTTTTTCGATTACAAAATTCTGAAGCAAAAACTCGATCTCACATCTTGCGCCAAACTGCAGGTCCGAGATTTCTATTGCTTGTGCAGTTTTTGATCTTCAAGTTATAATCTCTGATGGTTCATCTCCTCATACAGCCTTGACATTACATTTTCTGACGTATCTGCGCGGTATTGAATTGGAGATCTACGATGTTATAGCGGGAAGAGTAGAGTAGTTTAGTGACCAGTAGGGGCGAAAAACAGATAACGTTGTTGTCCGTCATTGTTGTTATGATGTTCCATTTCCTTTCATTTCATTTTCCTTTCCCAAACCGTACAGTCTTCTAAAATTACCGCCACTGAAAAGTTTTGGGATGCTTCCCAAAGTTATTTGTAGCCTAAGTTTTATGGCTCGTCGTGCAAGAGCACGAAAATTTTTTTCAGCATATTTATAAAATTTTTTTCAAAAAAATAGTTCATTGGACTGCGATCTCGCCAGCCTCAAGACCCCTCCCTTCCTCTATCTTGGTACCCGTTGGTATCTGCCAGGCCTGTCTAAGCTCCTGATTTCCTTCTCGACTGCGCTTCTTTTATAGACTCCCGCCATCTGTATACGATTGATACTGAAACCACCTTTTTACTGGACATCAAATAATCCGCGATTTTTCCAGAACTAATCAACGCCGTTGAAGAAGCATCGCCACAATTCACGCAAGCAAGTGCACCACCTGAATCAACTGAATCAGCTGGAGCAATGGAAGGACGCAGAAGATGGGAAACACTAGATGATACACGTAGCGATCATATCGATGGCTCTACGGAAATAGGAAGAGTGCTTGTAAACTCATCTATGCCTGGTGACAGGGTCATCGATGGAGTAACCGTGCAACGTTATGCACCTGGAGAGTTGGTTCCAGGCAAAGAAGTGATAGTAGAAACCCGTGTAATAACGGAGGAGGTGTCCGGTGGAGGAGCTGGCACGGAGAGCCGTGAAGTGAGGGAACGTCGTGAAGGAGGACGTTATGAAGGAGGCCGTCATGATGGAGGACGTTATGAAGATAGAGAACGCCGTGAAGTAGGAGGTCATGATGGAGGACGTCATGATGGAGCACGTTATGATGGAGGACATCATGAAGGACGAAGTTATAAAGATAGAGAAGGTCGTGTAGTAGGAGGTCATGATGGGGGACGTCATGAAGGAGAACGTCATGATGGAGGACATCATGAAGGACGAAGTTATGAAGATAGAGAAGGTCGTGTAGTAGGAGGTCATGATGGGGGACGTCATGATGGAGGACGTCATGAAGGGGAAAGCCGTGAGGAAAGAGAACGTCGTGAAGAAAATGAACGTCTTCTAGAAAGGGGACGTCGTGATGCAGAGGAGCGTCGTAAAGAAAGGGAACGTCGTGAAGGAAAGGAAGGCAGACCAAGTGGAGGAGTGGCGACGGAACGATTGGAGCGAGTAAAAGGAGGCAAGGAACATTACACTGGAAGTGGAAGATACGGAGAAACATCAGAGGTGAGAAATTTTTCTCAAAGGCTCTCATTTTTTTTATCTCTCATAGATTTCAAAATTGCGAATAATAATTCTTGCAGAGTGCCATCCGCCCCGACGTGGACAAGATCAAAGAAGGAGTCAAGGGAGTCGTACATCACATTCCAGACGAGGTCAATAGGATCAAAGAAGAGGCGAAGGGAGTTGTGAATAAAATTCCTGGAAAAGTCCACGAGATCAAAGAGGAAGCCAAGGGACTGGCCAAGGGAGTCGTGAATCAAATTCCCGAAGCAGCCCACTGGGTCAAAGAAGAGGTCAAAGGAGTCGCGAGTAAAATTCCTGAAACAGCCCACAAGGTCAAAGAGGAAGTCAAGGATGTCGTGAATAAGATTCCAGAGGAAGTCAAGTATGTCTGCTTCTTTTGGTAATCACACTCTCCGAAATTTGGCAAATTTTCAGAGATGCTGCCTGGATGTCGTCTCTGGCACTAACGGCCTTGGCTGGTTTATTCTTCTCCGTTGTGCTTTATCGATTACTCCATCATTTGCTTGTTCCACAGCCGGAAAGCTTCTTCTGCACGTAGGTTTTTCAAATACAGATGCATCTAATTCAGTATTCACATCTCTCTCTATCTGCCTCTTGCCACTTTTGTGCAAATTTATCCATTTAGTCGCGCATTTTTATTATTTCAGCTCCTTCTCACATCTGTTCCCGTCACTACATAATGCATTCTGCAAACATGATGCTCCTCGTGGTTTCTTCGGTGAACTGTTTCATGAATCGTCTACGCTGTGGAGCCAGTTGTTCGGTGGTGGGCTGTTGAGAGGATTATTCGGTGGTAAGTTCTATTTATGTGTAGCGATACTTGGTAATGCTGCGAAATACAGTTCATGGTATTGTTTTATCTAGGTTAGTAACCTGAAAAAAAGTACTCTTGGCGTAACTTTCTTCTAAAGAAAGGGCGTTTGTTTTGAACGAAGACCCTTAGAAACATGCTATCAGCGTCCAAGTGATGACGCTAATAAAAGGCTAAAAAAAGACATCTGTTGGGAGGGGGACGCAGAGAGGGAAGGGATTGACGTCAGATTAGTGGAAATGCAATAATCCCACGAATTTTTCTTACAGATAGTTTAGTTATCCATAAGTTGAATATACGAGTTCGCAGAAGCGTATGATTATTGATAGGAAGTCTTTTCAAGTCTTTAAAACTACTATTGAGTGGTCTCTTGAATTTTTGCCTTGAATTTTGCCGCACTGCTCGCATGTAATAACCAATCTTTAGTTTTCCAAGATTTTTTCATTTGCAGAGTTTCAAAAATTTCAGGAATCTCCCACCTCTTCCGCTCGATATTCGGTTCGATATTCGATGGCTTCCATGTTATGGAAACAATATCTAATAAGATGACTGATGGAGTACGACGAGTGGTGGGTGCTTAAGTTTATGTAATTCTATACCCTGCTAAGTCGTTTTTGCAATTGTCTGCTTCTGAGGGACCAGTTCTCGCTAAATCATATTCAACGAATTGTGAAGATTTTCACAATTCGCTGAATTGCTTGATCTCAGTGAAGCCACTTAACCCCATTTGTACTGAGTGGCCGCCACAATAATGAGAAACGCCATTTTTCGGAAAAAAACCCCAGAAACCCAGATGATTTATGCGTAGCCCTTACTTATTTTTGCATTCCTTTCGTGACTCCGTAGCTGCTCCAGCAAATATTTTCCACCACCAGCGATTTCAAAAGTCGTTTGCTTGAAATGCCTTCCCCTTTCTGAACACTTGAAAAGAGTGGCGAAAAAAACCGTGTGGACAAAATTCTGATTAGATTGTGCTCTCGACCTCCATATTCCACCAATTTCAGGTCAGCGATGGATTCGGAGTGTTGGCCAACAATCTGCATGGAAACCTCTCCTTTCTTACCCGTTTCTTGGGTGGATTCGGCAATGCCATAGTTCGCGCCCTTGCCGGAACTTTGTCAGTATTTTCCAATAGTTTCTCTGACACTCTCCACACATTAGCTGCAGATGGTGAGCCGGCTGGTTTGATCTCCCTAACTTAAGCTGGTTGCAGCTTGTTATGTCTTCTGAATGTTGGAGAAATTAGCATGTCTTCGCTGTATAAAATGAATAATCACCAAAACTAACCCTCTGTAAATATTGTACGTTACTGTAACTGTCATTTAATCTTTTTACCTCTGTATCTAGTCTTGATCCATTCAAAATGTATAATCTTGTCTTTTTGTGGTCAGCAGGAACATAGCTGTCGCTTTGGCTGTAAAAAAAATCCATGTAATGGAGAAATGATAATAATTCTACCTTCTACATTTTTTGGTTTCTGCAAACTAATCTTGAATGTGAACTCGTAAATCAGTTTGGCCATTTTCACATTTCCAGCATCTCTTACACTGACTAAGTGAATGTTATCTTATCTCTCATCGTAGATTTTTCTAGCAAACGCATATACCATTCCGTTTTGTATGGTTTATAATTCCCTTACAATCTTCTTTAATCAGATTGTTGAACAATAATCTCGTTCTTGTAGCTAATTCAGTGTACATAAGGTTTCACATTGTAATAAAGGTTCATAATATATGGTTTGAAGCACAGCAAAGCAAATGGTATGAACAAGTTTTTGAAATTTACTATGAGTTACGAAGATGTGCAAGTGATTTGTTCATATTCGTAGGTATTCAAAATAATTTTTGGGGATTAAAAATTTGAATTGGCTTCGTGAAAAACTCGTTTTAAGTTGGCGATTTTGGTTAATTTGGATTGGTTAATTTGGATTTTTTTGGGATACGTCTATAGTTTTTGTGGATCCATACCTCCCAAATTTTTAAAAAGGTAGCCTGGCAGCCGCAAGCTCTCCAAAAAAAATGGAGCTGCTTGGCTGATGCCTTGCACCTTCACTCGAGAGGAAAATTTTGTCCCCCCCCCCCCTTCCCCTTCCCAAATGAAAATGGGAGCGCGACTGGGGAATAGTGTACATTCACTAACATAATAACGCACAATATGGTTGGAAAAAAAGGCATTCTCTCTCGATGAAGATGCGAACTGCACTGCGTCTTCCGAATTCTGCCTAACCCCCCCCCCTTCCCACGTTCATGTCCGAGTTAGACGACGTTGCCTGCGTTTCTCCTGCCTTTTCTACACTTCACATTAGCTAAGTTCGTATTGAGGAGAAAAAAGTGGTGCTCCCCATGCTACTACAACGGGGTTATCTCTTAAAGGTTATATTTCATTCGATGGAGCATAGCGGCGGCCTCAACAGTATGGTCATAAAATTCTGAATCGACCGGCTTGAAGTTATTCAGAGTCCACGAATATTGCTCCAAAAACGAAGTTCAAGTCCTGCGAGCTTCCAATTTGGGTGAACACATTAGACATTTGAAAAGTACTTAATTTTTCTTGAAGCTAAGGAACGAGAAACAAAAATTGTTCTGCATTAGGAAATCGGCACCTTTATTGGGCTTGGGCTTTCATGCGGGATGTAGGAGAGGATCTCTTAGGGAGCTTCCAGACCGCGCCGAAACCGCGCCGGTTGTCGCTTTTGCAGCCAGTAGCTGCTTTCGCGCCGGTTGCCACTATCGCAGCTGAAGCGCACTGTGTCAGATTTTGTCCTTGGAGCGTCGCGAGAGCCTATTGGAACTAAATACAAAACTTTTCAATATTTTTGCCACCACTCTTCTCCCAGGTCTTCTTTCCGTAATTAATTCATTGGAGGTTATACGATGCTGGAATAGTCGACTTATTGTCGAATATTCAATCTACCTCCCGCTGTAGAGTTGTTTTTTGGGCAAAAGGTGATGAACGGTGTTTTGTCTTTCATTCGTTTCAAGGCTATTCTTTTACGGTAGGTGATCGATTTCGTAGAACAAAGTTTTTTTGAATTTGTCTCTAATTTTGAAGCTATGCTACTTATATTAAGGATATCGGGTTGCAGACTTTCCCTGAATGTAAGTGTGAACTTGTTGGAACTTCATGCGGCATTGTTTTTCGTACTCTTTCGTTAACGTTACCGTTGAAATCAGGGAAAGCCCGCAACCCGCCTCCACACAAATCTGGGAGCTAATAAATCTTTGCGGAACGCTATTTTTTGCACAGCTTTCGTTTTGATGATATTGCTCTGTTGTGCAGGCAAGGTTTCTCAATGTCTTTACCGATTTGAGGTTGGTCTGCTGAGTGAACGATATCATCGCAAAACACTGTTTCTAGCACTTCTAATTTTGAAGCTACTCTACGATACTGCTTGAGTACACTTACTGATATAAGTTTAACTACTCAAGGTTAGCTATTTTGCTATGCTGAAGTAAAGATATATACCTTGAGTGGAGAAGGAGAAGGCACCAAATGACTTTGCTTTGAAATAGAGTTAGTCAGTGCAGTGAAGTACCAAAAGCTAAACAGTACAGAGAATCTGAGTTCTGCAGCTAGATCGCTGCTACGGCACGATAGAACACCTTCAAAACAAAGAAAGTACTTTCACACTCGCTCATCCAGCATAGTAAACCAGTTTCAAAACGAGGTAGACGTCGAAAAGGCCTTGCCTTGCAATCCAGCAATAGCTCTACATCGGGATTTAGACTAAAAGGGTTTCACTCGACAATGAATCGATATTTTCAGCATCGTAGACAACCGAAAAAAGGAATTCAGATCAAATGACCATATCTGCAATGAATTACTACAGCAAAGAAGAGAACTTTGGAAACAAAAGAGTGATGACGAAGAAATCGAAAAGCCTAGCATCTAGTGCCAAAAGGCTACGCTCCGAGGACAAAATCTGACACAGTGCGCTTCAGCTGCAATGGCGGCAACCGGCGCGAAAGCGGCTACCGGCTGCAAAAGCGACAACCGGCGCGGTCCCGGCGCGGTCTGGAGGCTCCCTAAGGGCCCGTATGCACGTACATCCCCGCGGGGGGGGGGGGGAGGGGATCTGAGAGGGGAAGCGTCATATCTTGCTAGTCTGTGTATCTTTCTTCTTCTTTCTCTGTCTTGGTTTTGAAGGTTCTCATACACTGATGCTTGCGCATAACGGATGCCAGGTTACTGCCATACAAGATTAGATATTCACTATTTCGTCTGATCCCCTGGGGATCCCCAGGGGATCACCTCACATTTTCAAAGTTATTTATCTTTCTAAAAACTCGATGAAAATGTTCTAAAATTGTACTGTGAATATACTACAGCACTGCTAAGCATATTTATGGTAGAAATGAATGAAATCTCAAGATATCAAAATCTTCGATGAACCGCTGCTCGCGAGCCAGAGGATTATCGAAAAAATCAAAATCTTCAGATTCAATTTCTTCTGTCAAAAACATGCTCAGCAGTATCGTAGTATATCTTCAGTACAATTTTGCGGCGTTTTCATTCATTTTTCAGGAAGATAAACGACTTTGAAAATGTGAGATGATCCGCTGGGGATCCCCAGGGGATCGGAAGAAATAGTAAATATTTAATCTTGTATAGCAGTAACATGGCATCTATTATGCGCAGGTATAAGGGTATGAGAATTCTCATAAGCACGATAGAGAAGAAAGAAGAAAGATATCTAGAGCAGTGAGATATGGCGCTTCCCCTCTCTGATCCCCTCCCCTCCCCGCGGGGATGTACGTGCATACGGGCCTTAATCTTTGATTGCTCGCGTACAGGGGTATATTTTTATATTTTTCGGTCATATATCTGAATTTGTAGCAAACGACCACATATACGAGATGTAAGAGAAAAGAGAAACCTACTTTTGCATATAAGAAGAACCTACTTTTGCTTCTGGCATTTCAGATTCGTTGTTCTGTTTTTTCTTGATTTCTGACCCTTAAAATCACAGCAAGTGTTTGAACAAATTCAAACGCACATGACATATGAGTAAAGTCTGAAATTAACCCATTGACGACGACGCCTAATTTTGCGTGGTGGCGCTGTGGGACGACGCGATTTTGCACAATACCTCCGGCGTGGGAAGGATTTGTGATCATTTACGAAATGTAATATTGTTTTGTAATCAACCACAATCATCTTCTTGGACGGCGGTTCTACAGGTTCCGAGAGTGCAAAAAACTGGAAGAAATACTGAATTGTGGAGAAGATACTGGACCTGGAAAGGACATGATTTTGCAAGAGGTGTGGGCCACCGGTGATCCACATCGTCCCTGGCGGCAAAAAATGCGTGGGCCACCGGTGGTACACATCGTTGTCAATGGGTCAAGAATTTTCTGGACTGAGGAGATTAGCTTTGAGTATCAGAAGTCTTTCCTCTTTAGTCTTCAGGTTTTTTGTCTTCACTTAACGCAAGACTCAAGCAGGTTATGGTGATTCTGTAAAATATGCTTTGAACTATTGAATAGCATCCCACTCACATGTTTTGGTTCCTGTTGCGGTAGGAAAACGCCATTATTTTTTTTATATCTGATCAGATCCACCATGGTACGGTTGCTTATACCGTGAAGAGAACCCAGTTCTGAACTGGGGGAAATCAAAAGGATTTGGATTCTTTCCCTCAATGTAAAAACTGATTCTCTCGATATTGTCGCCGTCAGTAGAATCCAAAATTAGAAGATGATAATTACTTATTCCACGCGCGACTGTCTATGATCTTGATGGAAATGTCTTGGTTTGGTTTAATAAGCAGGGTAGCCAAGATTGCTATAGCAGTCCTTATTGCACAGACTGATGTTTCGCAGGTTTCGCTTTTTTCAGAGTTTGAAAAAGTCAAACAACATCAAGACCTACGACCAAACAACTCGATCTAATATATAAACAATCGTAAGCGCAATTCAAAAATGTGCAAATAGCGGGAAACCGCGTGGCGGTCCCGAAGCGAACGCTTCTGCGAATAGCACCTTCAATTACTGGTACACTAGTTATAGAAAAAATCCATTCTTATGGAAAAGCATGAGTTCAATCGAAACTACAAAGTTAATGCTAATGCTCAATTTAACAGATACTTACTTGGGTACTTGAATGCCCAGTCTTCTCGTAACGTGCGGGCCCCAGCACAACAGTTTCCACTAGTCTCTGTCTCCAAGTCCACCAAACACAATTTTTCACTGCTCGGTGACTGCATCCACAAGTTACAGTGCAAAAATCTTATTCAGCTGATTTTTCAGCTGGTCCATCCGTTCGAGGAACATGTCTGCCGATCTCGTTGGTGTTTATTCCTCGGGAATGTTTCGTTTTCCGCGAAACTTCGTTTTCGTAACATATTTCGCTGGATCACGAAGACGGACATTTTTCTCATATCCGAACTGAGAAGTCCGATGTCGCTTGTTCGGATCATCTAAAAGTCTGCAATTAAATGCTTTATGGGTGGCCGTGAAACTCTCGAGGTGACTGAAGTGTCGGCTGGAGTCTCGCGTAATAGAGCGTGAAATAACGGTTGAGTGGAACGAGTCGACCTGAAGTTGCAGGTTTGTCAGCTGCTCGGTGTCTTCCTTCACAAAACGACACAAGCTCCATTTGATCTCCTGCTGAGTCCTTCCTCAAATCATTTTCCATGTTTGTCGAATGTCTTAGTTACAAGTAAGAAGACGTCTTCGCGATGGGGTGCCTTCCAAGTCCGTATGCATCTTCGCAAAGGCGTT